AGCACAAGTGATTTGTCCTCTTTGGAGCTATGACTTGTTGCTTATTACTTTAAAACGAATGCTGATTACCAGAGCTGTAATTTCCACGAGGAGTGCACAGCAGAAGATCTACACTGTCAACAACAGGAATTCAAAGTTTTTTCAAAGTTTCCTTAAAAAAAATAAAAATAAAAAAAAAAAACAAAAAAAACAAAAAAAACAAAAAACAAACAAGATATTTCTGTGTGTTGAAATCCAGCTGCTGGGAAACAGACTCTTTCCAGCCACGTTTCCCAAAAGCTGCTCTGCATGCTCGCTCTGTCGCTGCCTTCCGACCGAAATGTGTCATGTATTGTTGAGCTCTTCATCTCCGCCTTCGTGCGCGTCTTATCTGCTCTATCTGCACTGTGTCAGTCAAAAGGCACACTCAGCAAAGGTGAAGAGGTTAAGAGAGAAGTGTAAATCGAAAATCAGGTGTGTGTGTTTGTGACAGTTTTGCTTCCTTATGTGCACATGTGTGCGTGTGTGTGTGTGTGTGTGTGTGTGTGTGTGTGTGCCTTTTTGTGTATGTGCCAGTGTGTTAAGCATTAACATGATAGGAAGGTTGCCGTTGTCTTTCACCCTGCGGTCAGCTACCTCGACAATGAACTGAATATATCTGTGCAAAACAAAGAATCCCAACGTTTTTCCTGAATTTCTGTGTCATATCTAATCTATCTTTGTCTTTATTGCACAGCTGACTATCACACACAAGTGCACTGGCTGTATGAGTCATTCGTCTCCACTTTCATTTCACGGAGGCACAGCCTGTCCTTATAAAAACTTATCTCCATGCTTTATAGAGCCAAGTATCATGTTATATATCTATTCATATGACACTTTAAGCCACTATAATCTTATATTGCCTGAGCAGTTTATACATGATACCCATGTTCTCATGGCCATCTTAATCCACTGTCATGTCATAGCTGTTGTAGGGGATTAGAGGTGTGTGTACCTGTTTTTAAAGCACATGGGAATTCAGATTATATGTTGGCAGAAATACTCTTTGGAAAGAGACGGTTGTAGTCATATGCCAGTCATTGAAAAATACACATGCAGCATTCACTACTTTAAAAATGAAGATTCCCAAGGTGACATCTTCACCTCAGGGTCTTCATATTCATCCTTAACTCTATACTGCTTCCGTAGTTCTTTGCCCACTCGCAACACGAGCCTCGTTTACTAACTTTCTGGTTTCTGAGTTTTTTTAGTCTTTCAACATGGTAGCAGCTGTGTTGAACTAAATTCTTGGCTGCTTTTCACCTCCTACCTCATAGCTGACCTCATCCCCTGCGTGAAGGCTGTGCAGTGTCCATCAGGCTCGGGGACCGAACCTATCTCTTCACGTGTATTGATATTGCATTGACTTGAAGGGCACGCAGCGGGCTGCAGATTACCTCATCAGTAACAGTAGCTGCATTGTGCTGAATTTTGCATGGTCACATTGACCTGGTTAACTCCTAAATTATTCATGGCAACGGGAGGAAAGCAGCAAAATGAATATACACACACACACACACACACACACACACACGCACGCATGCATAGCTAACAGGCAGAGGCCAGGGGAGATTTAAAGGAGCATCAGGTTGGCGAAACAGTGTGGTCAATGCTGTTGGCCTCACCGTTTGAAACATAAGAGCCATGTGACTAAGTTGGTTGTGTGTTCGTGCTTGTGCGTGCGTGCGTGTGTGTGTGTGTGAACTCAATCAGTCCTCGGGCAGAAAAGGGTGCAGGAGTAATCCAGCACAGGAGACATAACACCTCGACCATTAGCAGACCATCTCACATAACCCAAGCGCTGGCGGCTGACAGACATGCGTAAACACATGGCACCGCTTTCCTCGTATTCACTGCGGCTTCAGTATTCAACACCTCTCTTCACCCCCACCACCCCGCTACCCCCGCAGGCCTCTTCTTTCTGTCTCTACACTTGGGCGGCTCACAAATATTTGCAAAGGTCCTCTGCAAGGCTCTCGGAGGGCAGGATTAATGGTGGTGTGTGCCGCACACCCTGGGCCAGACAAAGCCTCCCCATCTGGAGCTCCAAACCCGTGACTGGGGAACAGAGGCAGCACACAGAGCCTGGTCGAGGCAGCCCGCGGAGGGTGGATCTATAGGCACCACTTCATAAATGAGCAGGAGTCCTGGGCAGGTCCTGCAGATGAATGAAGTGGGCGTCTCCTCTCCTTTTGATGTGATGGGGAGGAAAAGGGGTCCTGCATGCCGGTCCTGGGCCTGGTGCCACGCCAAATGGATCACATTTCCCCTACCAGCTGATTAAACAGCCATATCTGCATCCATCACTGGGCGCTGAGCTAAACAATGGCAAAAGCCAGGGGGGAGATAGGCAAGGCCGCCCCATAACTCCTACAGACTTTCCACTACTTAGGAAGCCAGGCTGTAACAAGATTATCATCACAGCCTTGGTCAGTGGTTCCTGACATTTTTAGCCACATTTTCACGGCCTGTAGAGGTAAAACTACTCAATATAATATATCCAACTGTTGAGACTGATATTCCCACAGAGCCATGTTGCTAGCATGGCTAAAAAGCAAAGTTTGGAGAAAAAAAAATGTTTTTCTTCTCCTTCTTATTTAATATTGCATATCTTACAATTAGGTCCTACCCCCTCCTCCTTGTTGGAAACCACTGACCTAAGTCCCCAAATTATTCTCTTGCTTTTTATTTTAAGAATCGGGTATTTTTCGAATTAGCAGTTCTCATTAAAGTCCCCAGTTGGTCTATTTTAGTTGCCTACAGATGTAGTAGAAAGGTCTGGAACACTGTGTGACCGCTGGTGATAGAGACAGAAAACATGCAGCACCCTGCAGGGGCTTTTGGTAAGAAAACTGCACAGACACCTTGGAGAGAGGAGATAGCAACACAGCAAAAAAAAAAAAAAAAAGCCTAATTTTTATTTGGTTGCTGTTGAAGTCATAAGTGAGCTCTTATGATCATTCAGAGAAGACATAGACCCTATTTATTACCCAAACCTTCCCCTTAAGCCTAACAAGGCAGCCTGTAGAGTAATTCTGCTCAGGTCTGTGTGAGTGTTGCCTTTCCTGTATCTTCTTAGCTCATCATGTCCTGCTCTTTTCCAGTGTATACATCAAGTATTGTTAATGTGGCTGATAGCATCAAACTGCTGGTCCTTTTTGTTTACTGAGCCTTGTGAGTCGACTTGTTTGTTCCTGTTTCTTCCCGTGTTGCGTGTCCTTAAGCGTGTGCTTTTGCTTCCCCTCCCTCAGGCCCACTGATGAGAGGCACCCAACGGTGACGGCCGACGGCACTGTGGACAACCTGGCCCAGTCTGTGGACGTGATCCTCAATCAGAGGGGCCACTGAGTACAAGGCAGTGGACAACTGGAAAAACTCCTCCACTTACTGTGACCCTGAGTGATACAGGCTGGTTCGTGCTAGTGTCTTCATATAGCTCTAAGTGTTGTTTCTGACGGGAAGGGGTGTGTTGCATCAAGGTATTTCAACAAACATGTCAAAACAGCACTGCACTAAAGTACCATACAATACTGTATATCCTGTAACCGTCGCAACTCCTTGTTCTGTCAAAAAGGGGAAACACCCACCCATCTGGTGGTCTGCATAGTTTGAATTAGAATGAAATTTGCAGACGTATTACGCGGGTCTGCAGGAGATAGTCTTTAGAGCTGCACTGTGCATTTGCCAGTACATGACTGGAATAGATAAGATAGTTGAAGTTGACATGAATGTGCCTTTAACCAGCTGCTGACTGACAGTTAGAGGGGAAAGTAAAGCTGTGTGTTTAGACTCCCTGCTAATGTTACACAGTCAGATTCTTTCTGGAGCAGCCAACAGTTTGTAGCCAAACTGGAAACACACAATGGAAAGCTACCTGCAGTTCATTTTTAACATGCACTGATTAATGTACGTATCCTGTTATATGTAGGTAATATTTTTGTCTCCTTTGAAAAAAAACATGCACAGTCTTAGTGAAGAAGCCAGGAGGTGTCGGTAATATTATAGTATTTAATAGAGTATTTGGCTTTGACTGTTATAAATAAAGCTATTTTAGTAGTCTATGAGCTGTAGAAAACATTTCTCTGCCTGAATTTGCCAATTTGTCTCAGCCATTGTCACAGAACTTTTTTTGAGGAAAAAAAAAAAAAGGCTCAAGGTCTCAAAGCGCTGGGGAAAATTTAGCCTTGGCTCTGGTTTGAACTGGAATCTGTATCGGAGCAGCTTTTGTTCTACAAAAACAAATCGCTGAAAATGGGAAGTGAGCTGGTCTGAGAGTTGATAAATGCAGAACTCAGCCGAGTGTGATGAATTACGCCGGTGCTCGAGCTCGTGTTTCTCCCTCTGTAAACAAAAATGAAATGAGCTCTCCATCATCAGAGTGAAGCATCGCATATCTACAACTGCTTATCTTTATTTACTCGACTGTTAAAGCCTCCTCTGACGGGGACAGTCCTGCCATAGTTACATAGATAATTCCCACTCATTAGATGTAGAGCGTTCACAGTGAGGTTGAATAAAATGATGAGGGGGGTAAAAATTGGTTATTGGGCTCCTGTGTGCCAGCTGGATCATCGAGGCCTCTGGAAGTGGGGCGTAAAACAAACGATTCTCCATCGCTGCCCCCGAGGTTTCAGTGTACCAAATAGATTCATCAAGAACAAAAGCCCATTGCCAAGTGATTCATTGAGGTCTTTCTGGTTCACTTCACCATTAGCTGACACAAGCTTGAATGTTATTGGGCAATTAGAGGTAATGAAATGCTACGAAGTATTATGAAACAGTGTTAGAGCTGGGTGCACCACTCCTATTTCTGATCTGGAAATACGTATTAATGTACACGGCAAACTACTAGCAGCTGGTACCCAGTTTTCTAACAGCTTACACATTGTTTGACTCCATGTTTTTGTCCATTATGTTACTGGCCGTTGGCCTTGTACGGAGCTATTAAACATGTATTTGACTACTCTCGAATAAATTCACTTGGTTTTAACTAGGTTATTTATTTTTTTCCTCCAGTTCGTGGAAGTGGAGTAATTCTGAGGGATGTAGGCCACAGTTTTCACCACCTCCCCTTGGCAGGTTCATCATCACTAGGTGCTTAACACACACACACACACACACACACACACACTTACATGCAACAGACCTAGCTGGTTGTTAGGTACACCTCTCAGGCCGACCTGAGGTCATCCACCCATTTCACACAAGTTACAAATTAGCAGCAGTTTACCTCTGCTGGCTGCCACGACGGGTAAACGCTGATCTATTCCTCCTGGAGTGCAGTATATTGATTCCTTCGCTGTGACTTCAGACTGCGAGGCGAGATTACTTTTCAAATAATCGAGATGACCTCTTTTCAGGAGACATGTCTGGGCATGTATGACTTCACTGCCACAGGACAGTATGGACTGACTAAACACACACGTCAAATCCTTGACTGACTGAACCTGTTGTGGTGATTTTCCAGTTGGTACATAAATTTGTCACCTTTGTACTTTGTGTCCAAATTGCATTTAGTGTTTTGTCATAATGTATTACGTGACTGCAGTTAACCTCATTGTTGACATGCATTAAGTGTACTTACGCTCAAGTAAACACAGTTAGCCCTGAAGCGATTAGCCTCTTAATCACTTCAGTCAATCAACAGAAAAATGAACAGAGAACAGTTTTAATCATTGTTTTAAGTAATTTATCAAATATGAAGTACCTATTTATTTTTATTCAAGTAATCACATAAATAATGTGAGAGTCATTGCAAAAGCACAAAGTACTTTAAACTCTGGCCTCGTTTTACCATTTTATTCCTACGGCTGATGCGTATTGCCAAAGAAGTCTTCGTCAAGCCTTCATAACAGTTTTTCTCTGTCTCACATCATTATAAACTGCATCCCTTTGGGTTTTTCAGACAAAATACCCATTTGGAAGACGATACACTAACACTAAATTACAACCAATCCAGAAAAATCATAGTCGTCATTTTCCAAACATTTTTCTCGCAGACATTCCCATTACGTTGACTTGATTCACAGCACACATGAGCCAGATGTACATCTATTAGTATCGGCTTCCAGTCATACCAGAACACGGTTATGACTGTGTGCGAGAGTGTCCCTCACCCTTACCTCCCTCCTCTCCCTCTACACCTTCAGGTCATTAAGCTGATGATCTCATTTTCATCTTATGTTGACTGACACCTCAGGGACGCAAAGCCCTGCAGCATGTGTCTGTCAGGAGGAAGAGGAGAATGTGGCTCTCTGTTAAATGTGTCCTGCTTAATCTCCAGCATCCACTGGGTTTACTGTGCAAAAGTAGCGTTTGTAACTTAATCCAACTAAATTGTGATTCATTTTTAAAAAATAAATGTAATTTCATGCGTTCACATAAAAAACTAAAACACGGTTTTTATTCTATATGATTATAAAGTAAAATCTTGGCCCTCATTCTACGTCTGTACAGAGTCAACTCTGCACACACTGCTGGTGTGTGTCTCTGAGCAAACATTCATATAGGTTTTTATGTCATCTGTTTGGGTTAGGCTCCTTTTACATGGCACACACACTGCTGCTCTTGTAAAACACCTGCATTAACCCACCTTAACAACTGCCAGCTGTGTGTTACCTTGAACTTTCATCTCTTCTCATTTAGTTCTTCCTGTTTGACAGGAAATGGCGGGTCAGCTGACCAGACAACGCCGCACACCTGCAGCCTTAAATGCACCATTATCCGTGGAAACATGTGCTTGTTTTGACAGCAGCCAGTTATTTGTCCCCCTCCCTTCTGTGTGTGTGGAGCGCCGGTCCATGTGGAGGCCTCTTTGCTCGCACTCGCCAAGCCACATGGTTTCCCCACATTTCATCACTCTCCTTCCCTCGTGGGCAGCCGTGCCGACAGCACTTGGTGGCGTGGGAGGGCTCTGAAACTTCAGAACTCGTCGGCTTTTGGAAGCCGAGGCCTGAATTTCCTCCCCGACCCTACCCCATTCCTCCCTCAGAGTCTTTACAAGCTATCTGAGAAGTGTCTCAGTTCGTACACAGAGCAGTCTGTACTCTGCTGACATGGTCACAGCCGTCACACAGGCCCCTCCAGGGGCACGACCCCTGCTCAACTGTCCACTAAAGCCTCAGAGGCTTGTCTCCCCAGACACAAAGCATGACCCCATGATGTCATACCCAAGTGCGTGCGTATGTATAATCCGGTCGAAAGACTGGTCGTATGTCACCATGCAGTGTAAACGAACTGTCTTGGTCTGCAAAAGGTCTGACGGCTTACAGCTGACCTCAATTTTAAAGCTGTCTGTCCCTGCTGTGGATCTCTCCTGTGAAGGTGTCCAGTAGCCTTTTGTAAAAAGCAAACGATTCAGTTTGGGTGCTCACACCTTAGATCCTAGTCGCCTTGGTGAAGAGAAACCTCCTGGACTGAACTCTACGTCTATTAAAGACTATTTTATGTGAAAAAGCTTGCATGACCTCGATGCATCTCTTCTATGTGGGTGCAGGCTGTTGCTTGTCAGACATAACACTGACTGAACTTCAACAAGACAGTTGTACCTCACACAGATTGTGGTTTGGTCTTGCATAAGTCTTAACAAAAGGGTGTGGGCGAAATTCAACACAGCGACTACCTGCAAATACAGCGGTGTAGTGATTCAATGCATATGAACACACGCAAAAAAAAAAATGAGTAGTAACTTCACAACACTTGCTCGACTGGAAATGTTTTGTGGTTGGGTGGTACTGCTAAATTGCTTTTCACCCTGACCACATTTGAGCTGCCAAGCAGAGGTAGGCAGCAAACCCAGGAGCTCAATGCCAACATTTAGTTTCACGTCACTTTCTGTTTGATTTTGTTTATATGAGAAGTTCCACTCTTGAAAAAGAAAAAGAAAAAAAGAGTCATTTTCAAAAATTCTAGTTGCTGTGTTTCTGAGGGATGGAAAATCTCATATCAAATCTCAACATATAGATGTATATAAAATGAAAGCACTTTGCAAAGAATAAAAATAACAATATTACCCCAATAGATAAATTCGAAGAACTTCAGCTACAGCTATTATTAATATTAAATATAACTTTTTTAATTGTGAACACATGGTAACCAGAACAAATGTGTTCTGCACCAGTAATGCATCTGAAACTTCGGCATCCACTCTACTGTAGGACATCTGCTGCCTAAAAACTGAATGAAGTGTGTGATGTGAATGATCATTAGAGCAGATAAGACCGTGCATAACCTCCAGTGACAGTTCAAGAATGACCCACCACCCTGTTGTGTCAGTGCCGGTGGGGGTTGTGGACGAGTGTTGCGCAGAACATTGGTTCGCCCCTCCTGTTGTACCCCTATCTCCTCTCAGAACACAGCCTCCTTTCACTTCTGTCACTCCACTGATTAAAGGCCGGGGGCCTCTTGGTGTGTCAGTCTGCCACACAGCACGTTTACAAGGTTTCTGTTTAGCCATTTCCTTCTCGACTCATTACCCGAAAAGGACTTATCTGGTGAAAAGGAGCGGCGTGCGTGTACCACAGCCAGTTCTGTCACAGTGTAAATATGACCTCACTGTGCAAGCATACAGATTCTCATGCAGCAGCGTAATAATCCAATCTATTACAAGAATATGCTTTGGCCTTTAGGCAAGTTTAACCCCACAGTTATGCTTTGTGTGATGATATTTGAGCTTGTATAACATGTCAAGCAATCTTCACATTACTCAGCCACTCTTTAATGAGGTGACTTTAAACACCTCTGTTGCTACCTAACGCTTTCAAAGAATGACAAGCATCGTCGCAAGTCTGAACAGACACGCAGAAGGGGTTTGCGTTCTGGAGCAGTGAATCAAGAAGTTAATGACGGTTTGCACAGGCACCAAGATTGGGGCAGGCAGGGGAAGCAGACAAACAGAGCAGCAGCAGCAGCAGCAGCAACAGCAGCAGCAGCAACAGCAGCAGCAGCAGCAGCACTGACACATGGCCCACATTCACAGCCGCCTCCCACGTCACTGTGCTCCTCAGAGAAAAAGCCCCTTTTGTTTCCCAGTGCAGGGAGGGAGGGAGGTCTCTGGGGTGAACCGCCGCTCAGCTCCACCACTCCAACCCGCCATCAAAAAAAAAAAAAGAAAAAAGAAGGGACCGGACTTCCCACCCCTGCCTGGCGTCCTCCCTACTCACTCCCCGCTTCAGCACACAAACACAGGCTCATCAGTAGTACCATTACTACGGTTGTAATTGTCTTTTCCTGCTACTTAATTGGGTCAGTCTACATTGTTGCATTAAAGACGTCTCAAACAATGACCTTGCTGTTAATGCAAGTGCTCTGCAAGTAACATTAGTGGAAGAATTCCTTCTTTCAGATTCTTTACTTCAGGGAAAGTAGAAAAACAGTGTACAAACATGAAAATGTCCTGAAACTAAAGTAGTTTCATCAGCAAGATGTACTTCAAATGTGTCATGTGCCATGTATTTGATTATATTATATCTTTAAATTATTATTACAGATTTACATGTAAGAGTATGTTCGGTCGCTTGACCTACTTTAGTACACAATAAATTATAAGCAGTTCCCAAGTAGAAATACCCCAGACATAAAAGATTAAAGTAAATATTATACATATATATTCTGGTATAATTATATTACATTCAGTACGTCATTATATTTGGCCACGAGTTAATACAAACAATCATCCAAATCCCTACCCTGTACGTCTAAAAGCACTAATGTAAGAATTTGCATCTAGTCACACCCACTTGCATCTGTTGTTTGACTTCATATGCAGCTGTGCTGCATCCAACATTCACTTCATATTCTGTCTCAACTCATATTAAGATATAGTCCAGAGCTGGCATCTAAAATTTTGTGAGAAAAGGTGCTGAAATAATGGACTTACAAATGACACATTTAAAACTGTGTTTATTTGTATAGAAATATGCTCATGTTTTACATAACTTTGTAGTTACAAATCGTAAAAAGAAAGAATATTAACGCTATT